TGTGTGTGTGTGTGTGTGTGTGTGTGTGTGTGTGTGTGCGTGCGTGCTTCTCCCATTCTCTCTCTCTTTAATTATCCCTCAGCCTTTTCTACAGTCCATGTGTATCTCACCCTCTCATCTCCCCTTTTTTACCGCCACATTCAGACTTTGCAGGGTCTCTCTCTCTCTCTCGCTCTCTCTCTCTCTCTGATAATGAGCCAAAATTGCTCTCTGGCCTCAGGAGATGAAAACAAGCTGCGTGTGTGTATGTTTGTTTTTGTTTATGTGCAAGTGTGTTGTTGTTTATGGCATATGAAGCTGACAGTAAAGCAAAAGTCCAGCATGAAACACTCTAAGATTATTAAAAACAGATATTATAACAGATGTGTTCATGTGCATAACTGAGAATATTTTACATCCCAGCCAACTGGAGCTGACTAACTATAGATGTCCTTGAAATAAAAGCGAAACCATGCAGACACTGAAGGTTTGTGTTTGAGCCGAATCTAAATTCCATATTTGGGCCAATATTTAAATTGTGTGGGTAGAAGGAATATTTAAAGAATGCCTGAGCAGTGTGAGGTATTTTACATTAGATAATATTTTTACATGACACGAGACCAAAGTTATCGATCAAAGATGCTGAGACTTGTTTTAACGACACTATAATATTGCTTAATGTTAAAGTTATAATAATACAAAAAAATAAGAGTTGGAGCCTTCTTATACCAGTGCCAGGATCATTGCTGTATCCTGCTGTACAGAGCAAATTTGAACTTTAAGCATATTTATTCATCTTTAACATTTCTGTTTTTCCCCCCATGGTTTTCTTTGCTCTTTTGTTTATATTTCTGATTTTCTCAAAATTCGTCTGAGGTTTGTTTTTGAAATTGTGTGTCTGAGCCATGCAGCAGTATGAAGAAACCCTGAACTCACATCCGCTCACTCATCCCTCTGTCCATGTGTCTACCCCCCCATATGCGTCTAAGCTTGTCCATATGTTGAACATAGAGAACATGAAGGGAGTTGCTTCCTAAGAGGAGTCCGTCCTGTGGGAGTTTGTCTGGAGTGATTTTACATGTGTGTTTGGTTAACTTGCCCTGTAATCATTGCCCTAATCACTGAAGTTTCACTAAATAATCCAGACCTCAGTTGATCTGAGTTCAGGATATTTGGTGTGTAGCAGATTTTGTGTGGTTGTCTGGTTGAATTTTCTCACACCAGCTTTAACAATGTTGCTCTTTTATGTCTAATGCAGTTTATTTTCAGATTCTAATGTCTGTTAATGCTATTGTCTGCTTCTTTAAATTCTTTCTTTTTTAGCATTTGTTGAAGGTGCCACTTTTAATGTGCTTTGAAAGACTAGAAGATGAAAATGAAATCAAATGGACAACAGGACATTACTGACAGTACACAAGCAATTTTTTCTAATAGAGTAGCTTTGCATGAGTTCCATCAGGTTACCTGAAACACGCCATTTTACCTGCTTTTGGCTCTTTAGGCCATCTTTCGTCTGATTGGCTGCTACTCCTAAACAGAAGGTTTTACCAGCAAGTGGGTGGGGCTTCTGTAACCATAGCCAAAACAATTTGACTGAGATGACTATAACAGGGATATGGTCTCTCTTTGTCATCATACAGAGCCAGTGTAAGACAAAATAACGTCTGAAATAGAAGAAATATTGAATTATTTTTAAGGCTGACCTCAAATGAAACTTTGAACATGAAAAGTCCACCATGGCAGAAGTATATATATTATATTAAATAAGGAAATTATATTAGACACTGGTTACAGGGAGTTATATGAAAGTTAGCATATAAAAAGTACTTAAGCTTACTTATTTGTGTAAATGGGAAGTCCTCTTCACACACTAAGGTTAATTATTCCACAGGATTCCTTGCAAGAGCCAATTCTATTTACATTATACATGCTATCCTTAGCCAGTATTATTAGAAGGAATAGCATACATTTTCTCTGCTATGCAGATGATACCCAGCTTATCTATCCATGAAACCAGATGACAAATACCAACTAGTTAGACTGTAGGTATGAATAAAAGACATAAAGATCTGGATGACCTGTTTCTAAATTCAGACAAAACTGAGTTATTGTACTTGACCCTAAAAATCATAGACACCTGGTGTCCAAACGGATCCTCTCTCTCCAGCAGCACTGTTAGGAATCTTAGAGTAATTTTTCACTGTCACTCTCGGTCACTGTTAAGTTGCATCCACTGTGATTAAAAACACAATCCTTTCTTTTTCTCCCCTCATGAAATGGAAGCTCCAGGCCCTGAGCTGCACAACCCTTGCTATGCCGGGACCCATGACTGTGACACCACAGCCCAGTGCATCCCGTTAGAGGACCTGGCTTTCCAGTGCCAGTGCGCTACTGGTTATACAGGAGATGGGCACAACTGTTACGGTATCTATCTGTGTCTGTGTCGGTCCTTCTGTGAACAAGCACATAGAGTGAATTCTTCTGTGGATATGCTGTGCAGCAATGAGATGGTTTATGTACATTTCAGAGTGCTTCCTCTGCCTTTGTTTAGTCTAGCGTTTTCTGTCGCATACAAAATGTCGAAGTCCAAGACAGTGTTTCTGTGTTTTATCAACATCTGTCCAGCCAGTGTAGAGGGGTCAAGTACAGGTTGGTTGAGCAGAATCGTCTGTAATCACTCTTTTCTTTTCTTTTCTTTTCTTCATCCTTCCTCTCCATTCGTCTCTTCAAGGTTAATTTTCAAGTTAAAAGGGCTTTCAGGACTTCAAGCTGGTGTGTGGTCTGTCATTAGCCCAGCAGCAGGTCTTTTTCGCTGCTGACAGCAAAGAAAGCCCCAGGCTCATCCTAAATTCTCATGGATGGGCCTCAGTGCGCCTTTCTGCTCAGATGATCTCCATGTTGTATTACACAATGCATTTTACATTCATGTGAGGAAAAAAAATGTGCACAAGACTCGCCACCATTTCTCAGTTTAGCAGCAATAACTTGAAGTAATTGTTTTCTTTACGACTTATCATTATTTCACGTTGTTGTGGAGGAGTTTTGGCTCATTATTCTTTGCAGTGTCACTTCAGGTCATTGAGGTTTGCAGGCATTCGTTCATGCACAGTTCTCTTAATGTCCCTCCACACATATTAATCGGGTAAAGATCTGGACTTCGAATGGTTTGATGCAACACCTTGATTCTTTTCTTTTTCAGCATTTCTGTTGTAGATTTGTTGGCACGCTTGAGATCCTTATCCTTTTGCATAGCCAATGTATGTCCAAGCTTCAGCTGTAAGACAGATGGCCTGACATTTGTCTAGAATACTTTGGTATGCAGAGAAGATCCTGGTCGACTTAATGGCTACAAAGTCCCCAGGTCCTGCAAATTAACCCTGAATCATCACTCCTCCACCAACCTTTAATATTTAACATGCTAACTGAGGTCTGTAGAGTCTGAGTTGTAGCTCGTCAGTTGTACTGACCTTAGACATTTACTTCTTGGAAGATTGTGGCATCGTGTTAGCACACACCTGGATGTGTCAGAACAGCAAACTGCCAAAACCTCTGCTTTTCTAGAGGTGCTCAAACTTGGTGATGATCGCTTAATCAAGGGAAGCACCTGCCTGTTATTTACCCTCTTAATTCTTTAGAAGCTGTTAAGGGTGTACTACTAGACTGCACAGAGTCCTATGAAACCTTGCTTTTTCTTTTTATACAGCAAAAGCACCAGTAATGAGCCCTAATTACAGCTTTTACATGTGTTGACAAGGAATTCCTGATTTACAGACTTGTAAATTTAAAGAAAAGCTAATTTCTTTGTCTCCCTCTCTGCAGACATAGATGAGTGCGCTGAGGGTTTGGGCACATGTGGGGATAATTCTGAGTGTGTGAACCTGCCTGGGAGTCACCGCTGTCACTGCCAGAGGGGCTACGAATTTGGCTACGATGGGCGTACCTGTGCTGGTGAGTTTGGAAATTCCTTCAAGAAATGCACAGAACATCTGTATAAAATGTGAGAGGAAATATTTTTGCAAAGTCAGTAGATCTCATCAGTTATTACGGGTCGCTCTGAGGGAAACATGAATGACTTGACATCAATCAATGGAACTGTATCCAATAATTTCATTAGAAGCCAAAAATGTTGTGCTTCTTTTCTATGTTCTTTTACCACCTCTTTTGCTATCTCTTGCATGAATTCTTCGTCTTTTGTCTCCCAGATTGTTTATATTAAGGGCTATTATCAACTTCCTTGCGACACTTGCAGCCTGCACATTCTGAACTGCCTCCTATCAGTTTAATCACATCATCAGCAACAAGTGTGAACATTTTCAGTTGTTCTGCATAAGAACTGACATGTGTTACATCATCTATCATCAGTTTATTGTTGGAAAACCCTTTCTTATGAGCTCTTATTTTGAAAATTTTCACTATTTGTCAGCTAGCTAGCCAGGTGACTGGTGTTGTGGTGCTGGTGTTATTCAGTTGCTTCTCTAGAGAGGATCCAGTCCCTCGGTTGATGATGATGTTGACGGTGGTGGAGGGCTGATGATTAGCTTCAGCGAACAGACAGTTAATTTCAACTAAACCGAATGTTTAGCATTTCAGAAATCCCACTTAAGAATATCCCCTGTGTGCAAAGAAATCAACTGGAAGCCATAACACCGTGTCAGTTTGATCAATCTCTGCTTAGAAACGTGCTGGTTTCTGCTGACTTTTTAAGCTGTGGCATCCTGTCTGCTTTCACATACCGTACCTTTGGTTTTTTTTGGGGGGGGGTTTTGTTTGTTTTTTTTGCCTGTCCCGTTTGGCTCTTTTGCCATCAGAATTGTTGTCTAAAGGCAAAGAAAGATGCCCAACGGATTTACTTTACCAAATTGACCATCCCAGCCTTGCCATAATGGTCCATTTGATTCACCTTTTATTGTTTATTTTATTTTCACTTACTGAATATGGGACAGACTTTACTGGGGGAAAGAAGGGGAGAAAGAAAGAGGGAAAGAGAAACAGCTGAGAAGAGGGACGGGGGAGAAGGGCAAAAGACATAAACCAACAGAGTGAGCAGAAAAAGAAAAGAAAAAAAATGCATATATCAGTCACCTGGGTCACCTGCTGAGAAAGAAAAAA